ATAACAGTCCTGGAGGGAACGCTCTATGTTGGCTTTGTCACATCGAACCCTGATAATCGTCTCATCACCAAAGTCTTAAAGCCAGGAGATGTTTTCGTGTTCCCATTTGGACTCATTCACTTCCAATTCAATGTGGGGAAAACCAAAGCTTCGGCCATTTCTGCCTTGAGCAGCCAGAACCCTGGTGTAATTACAATCGCAAATGCAGTCTTCGGATCCACTCCACCTATTAGATCTGATGTTCTCGCCAAGGCCTTCCAAGTGGACAAGAAAATAGTGGACTATCTTCAGAAGCAATTCTGGTACGACAACAATTAGAAGAAAATCCTACTGGTAATATAAGCTGACTGGAGGCAATATAGCAGCATACCATATTGATTGTGTTTGTTATCTTTTCCATTTGTTGTCACTTAATAAAGAGCTGGATTACTTAATAAAATGGATTGAGGATTATGTATGTAAATAAATATTGGAAAGACATTTTAACAGAAATAAAAAAACTAAGTCATGAAGTGAAGAAACAAGCACAAATAAGGATACGCTATCCTGTGCTTCTAGGAACCTTCTGATTTTTTCGCATAATTATATTAATCTAATTTGTTTTTTTATAGAAAGAGTAATAATCTAAATTCTATTGAAACAAAATAATTTGCTAGCAAAAATATCTAATTGTTTTTTTATCAATATCTCTGATTTCAATAAACGAAATCTCATGTTTAGTTCATGTGATTTATTTAATCAAAATCAAAAGCATTTAGAAGACATATAAAAATATAATATAAAATAAGGATAAAAGGATATAGTCATAACAAAAACCCTTTTATCTCATTAACATGCTAATATTTGTTTTAGAAAATTTTTATCAGAATATTTGTTTCTTATACAGCATTCTATTAATATCACAAAAGTACATCGCCATTCTAAGTGAAAAAAATAACATTATGATAATTTCTATATGAGTGTGTTAAAAATAAAAAAAGAATAACACAATGCTAGTGTGTTTCTACCAAAAACTCTTTAAAAATATCATTAAACTTAGTCTAGTAGATCAACCTTGAAACATGATGATTTGTTTCCTTACTTGATCTGGATTTCAAATTAAACCACGTGGAGGTTAATACGAAATGAACAGGCAACATTTAGCGGTTCAAAACTAACTTAGATAACCAATAAAAATATATTTCAACTTGAGAAAAAAAATTCAAGACAACATCTTATTTTTTAAAATAATAAAACAATATTATTTTGGATTGACTCGCGTTAATCCATGTTAATCTGCTAAATCCATGATCTAGTTTATGAACTTGGCTAATTAGTTTAATATCTTTGTTGATAAAAAGGTTTATATTTTTTATTATATAATAAAAAAATAGATGCTCATAATGAAATAACTTAATAAAATTTTTAAAAAATAGAGATTATGATGGGCAATAAAAAAGAACGCTTGCTAATATTAAAAATAAAATTTTTCTATAATGTGATTCCAAAACAAAGAAAAAACTAAATAGTACTAAATAGAACAATATCTAAATATATTGTTAACTAACTTAAGAATTTAATAAAATAATATACATAATATATTTTTCATTAGAAAATTACATCTAAATTGTTGGAATTTATTTTTTTTTTAAGAAAAAAATAGACAAGACATACAAACCTTGTGGCTCATGGCACTTGACCCACCTAACAAAACCCCAAGAGCGAGGGCATGCAAGGCCAAGTTTGCTACATTTTCTATCATTTCTTTAATTTAAGAGTGTGTTTGGTAAACGCCGTTTAGATTTGTTTTGGGTAATTTTATTTAAAGAAAAGTTTATTTTTTTTACTAAATATGGCCTTGCAAAAAAAACTAATTAACAAATAAAAACAAAAATGGTAATAGTATATAAAAAAATGTTTTTTATTTGCGTGTTGCATACGGATAAGTATCTCAAAATATAAAAATTATATTTTTGCTTAATATATATATATATGTGTGTGTGTGTGTGTGTGTTTTGTGTTTTTGCATTTTTTACAAAATATATATTTGCATGCATTTTAAATTAATAACAAGTTTACTGAATTCATGAGAATTTGATTAATATTCCAATAATCCTAATGGTCAATATTTTGATATAAATGTTGAACCTACAAGTAGACTGATATTTAAATATCAATATTTGATCAAAAAAAATTCTTTAAATAATTTTAAATAGTTATTAATTTTAATTGGGAGTATTTGTTTTATCACAATATATAAATTGTGAAAAGTCATTTTCATACAAACTTATTTGGGCACATGAACTCATAATAAATTCGAAATATCATATTTATTCATAAGAGTAAATATTTATTTTGAGCTATAGACAGATTACCGTTTAGAAACTTATGAAAACTTTTAAACCAAATTTAGAATACGCAATGCAGCTTACATCAATTAAGGTGTGTTAGGGATGCTAATATTTTTTTTAGAAAGAACTAGTCACTTACTCTTGAAGTTTTTTATAATACTTTTATATTCGGTTTTTCTAGCAACCTTAGACCAAATAATTAGGCGATGAAAACTAGTTTTTGATAAGACTAGTATTCTCTGTAAAGTTGTGATCTTCAAGCAGAAGACTCCACACTAAGATATACTATTCTTCCTTATTATTACTAGACTCTGTTTATGGATAAAGGCTAAATATTTTGATTTTTCCTATTCAACTTCATATTTATTAAGATCAGTAGAGGGTCTACTTAGAAGGACTAATCCCCAAAAACCTTCAAATAGAATATGAATGGATTGGATGTTCTCTAGGAAAGCCTGATCCCTCAGGTATAGGTAGTGTTTTGCGAAATCATTATGGAATTCTTCTTGTTATCTTCTCATTGTCGGTTGGAATTTTAGATTCCAATAATACCAAGCTGCTAGCTGTTGTCAAAGCGATTGAAATCTCAGCCTCTAACTCTTGCATTACAAGCATATTATTATTGAATCTGACTATGCTAATATCATCAATTGGATGAATAATCTTGATAACAGACCTTGGCTGCACCATAAGCTCTTCTCTTCAGCCAATAGATTGGATCAATCACTTTAACTTATTCTCGTCATGAGACTAAACAAGGAATGCACAGAACAAGTGAATTTGTTGCTTGGAACTGAGTCAGCTTGATGTTTTTTGGCCCTTCCTTTGTCTATTTCTGTTAGCGGCTCCTGGTGAAGATGGTTTGTTTTTGCCAGGTTCTGAATTTTTTGCATTCTAAAAAGGCAATGGCTGAATATAGCAGGTGGTGAGCGGTCTGGTTCTTCAGCATACCTTTCATTCTCTTCTGTTTTTCTCGGCATATCAATATTGGCCTAAGGAGGAGCAGATGTCTCTTGCTGTTTGTTGCTTGGTCTGAAGATCTCTATTGATTTGGAATAGTTGATGATAGTTGGAAAGATTTAGTTATATTTTAAATCAGAATTGAGATAGTTTTCTTTTTTTTTTGGGTTTTATAGAGTTTCCCCTTGGTTATTTAGCTTGGTAGATTTGCTTGGCATTTCTGTTTGTGTGGAGGCAAAGCTGCATCCTATGTTTGTTGCTCTGTTCTTGTGGTTTTCTTGGACTTTTTCCTCTTCTTTTATTTCATTTGCTAACCGACAGTGTTTTGTAGATTTGTATCTCCTCCGTCCCTCTTTTGGCGTTTTTAAAGCAATTCTCTAGTTATCCAAAAAAAAAAAACACCAGTTAAACTAAAATTTCAGGTCAAGCTATCTAAATCATTTAAGTTAACAGGGGCACTCATTGTAAGAAAAAATGTGAACTAAACTTATTGTAATAACTATCTAAAGAGAAACAGAGTTCAGTTTTATTCGGGTCCTGTGTTGATTGAGAAAAGTTTAAATCTTTACGTGGGTATTGAGGGTTAAGTGTGTTGGGGTAGTGGAGATAGTCAAAGAGGGAAAGTGGGTTTTGAAAGAGAGGAACCGGTCAGTTAAGAGAGTGAAGAAAGAGGGATTCTGGTGGCATAAGGTGGACTGAAAGGGCAAGGAATAAAGATTTAAGCAAGCATATTCAGTGATGAAAATTAAAAACATCAATTTGGTTTCATAAACCAAAACCAAACCGAATTAAAGTAAAGCATAATTACAAATTAAAGATTTACTAAATCAATGTTTATAATATTCTCCTGTTATTTTTATTTTATACTTGAAATATTTTAAAATACATTAAATTATAGTATAGTTGTATCAAGGACATGGTCAAAACTCTTGAATGTCAGTTGAATATATTTATATATTAATTTTAATATCCCTAAAATGAGTTCTATAGTTAGAGACTAAATCCCTCAACAATGGATTATAAAAAAAAAATACTTCTTATGATAACTGTTAAAATTTAAATCTTGATTAACAAGATATAGATCACATTCATCTAGCAACTAGACCAAATCTCTAAGAGAAGAACATGAATATCAATAACATATGGGAATTTATTTATTTATTTATTATTTCATTAGGCTGGAGAGTCCACGTATTTAGAAACAAAATTCCACATATTTTTATTTTTTAATAGCGCTGTAGAGGTTTAAAATCATCTTTCATCCCTATCCATTTCTAATTGCATTAGATGAACTCCTCTATTAATTGAATAGTATTTCGATTTATTAATTGGAGAATATTATGTCTATTATATATTTGCTTTAACTGAACCGTATACAGCTTGGCTTGATTTGTTTCCTTCGTATAGAATTAATATGGTTTGATCTTTTCAATTACTCGTTAATTTGATGCAGGGTAAAAAACATTCATAACGTGGTTTCATCGCATAGAAATATATGATAGTGTGTAGTTGCTGCAGAATGGTTCTTCACGAGGGATAAAAAATAAGAAAAAGGGAATAAGGATATTCATTGCAGACTTGGCCAATCTCCCTTGGCTTCCCTTGTGGAGAAAGCAAAGCAGAGACTATTTCAACGATCACCATCTATAAATAATCTTGTTTCCCATGCAAGATTTCTCACCCCTCAGCTCTAATACACTTTGAAGAATTAAGATAGAGATAGTCTGATTAGAATGAAAAGAGTTCATTTTCTTGCAAATTTTGTATTTCTGGCTTTCGCTGCCTCATTTGCCTTCGCCTTCGACCCTAGTCCTCTACAGGATTTTTGTGTAGCCATCAATGATACTAAGGATGGTGGTATGCTATGTTACTATCTGAAGTTCATGTTTTTTCTAAACAAACTTTTCTGATGAATTATCGGCAACGTTGCTTTCTTTTGATTTATACGAAGAACTTGATGCTAACATAAATTCTTTCATGCAGTGTTCGTGAATGGGAAATTCTGCAAGGACCCAAAGCTTGCCACAGCAAATGATTTCTTCTTTTCAGGGCTCAACATTGCCAGAGACACCTCCAATCCAGTTGGCTCGGTCGCCAGAAACACTTCCAATCCAGTTGGCTCGGTGGTCACTCCTGCTAATGTCGCTCAAATTCCAGGGCTCAATACTCTTGGAATATCGCTGGTTCGCATTGATTACGCACCATACGGTGGCCTAAACCCACCACACACTCACCCTCGTGCCACGGAGGTCATAACAGTCCTGGAGGGAACGCTCTATGTTGGCTTTGTCACATCGAACCCTGATAATCGTCTCATCACCAAAGTCTTAAAGCCAGGAGATGTTTTCGTGTTCCCATTTGGACTCATTCACTTCCAATTCAATGTGGGGAAAACCAAAGCTTCGGCCATTTCTGCCTTGAGCAGCCAGAACCCTGGTGTAATTACAATCGCAAATGCAGTCTTCGGATCCACTCCACCTATTAGATCTGATGTTCTCGCCAAGGCCTTCCAAGTGGACAAGAAAATAGTGGACTATCTTCAGAAGCAATTCTGGTACGACAACAATTAGAAGAAAATCCTACTGGTAATATAAGCTGACTGGAGGCAATATTGCAGCGTACCATATTGATTGTGTTTGTTACCTTTTCCATTTGTTATGATTATGATTCGTCTTGTTGTCATTTAATAAAGAGCTGGATTGCTTGTTTTGAGCTCCATATTTGTTCTATGTATAAATGAGCACTACTACTTGTTAATTAAAAGCTTCTATTTTCTTCCTTTTTAACTATTTTTGGTTAGGACGCACACAAAATTTACTGTTAATTCGGAAATGGAATCAAATTTACAGGTATTTTCAGTGATGCCCTTGGGCATGACAACCTGTGCTTATTTTTAGACATAAGGGTGGAAGCTAGGAAAGGATAGTATGTAAGATGTGATGTACATGATTAAGACAATGAGCTCTTAAATAGTTTAACAAATATTAATATTAAAATTTTGTTTGTCAATTTAAAAAGTAGTGTTTTATTTCATGATTGCACACTTAATTGATATATGATATAATATAAAGTGTTTATTAAAGAAACTAGTTCTCCCTTTGTTTATGTCTATAATTAGAGAATTGCTTACATGTTGTATCTAAACTTTAAGTCCAGGAACTCATGTTTTTCCATTAAAAAATTATTGTTTTTTTCACTTTTTATGTTATTTTTTAAATGATTTATGAACAATAAATTCAAGTTGTTATCCACTCTTTGCCGAACAATTGGGAACACATGCATGCTAACTTTATCCACAATGACAACATTAAGATATTTGATGATGTTTCTCATCATGTTAAGTTAAAGAAGATCGACTTTATACCGAGAAGCCTGTAAATGAGGCTTTTATATTTGAGACTGAGATGCGTGGAGCATATGACTCTAAGTATGAAAAGAGTAAGGGTAAGGGTCCCAAATATGGCAAGAGAAGAATAGAAGCAATTAGTGGTGGACATAAAAGCAAGCGTGAGAAATGCAGCAGTAATAAAGGTAAGAATATGAATTGTTTCAATTATAATAAAGTTGATCATTTTGCTCATGATTGTTGTCGCATGTTTATAGCGTCGCGATGATAGCGTCCACTCTCTGTTGTATCTATCTAACCAATATAGGGAGACAAGAAATTATTATCTTTTATTAGTGGAAAGCAGGGATGAGAGTCACCATTTAGTATTTTGGTTACTAGGAACTCTAATTAGTGTCAGGGATTGGGTACGGGAACTAGTTGCGTAAAGGGAAGATATTAGCACCCCAAATACACCCTACTTAAGGTAGGTCGTATTATTTTAATTGTCTAATATATGCTAAGGTATTGTAAATATTTTTAATTGTCGGTTTGTCTATGATCGAAGAAAAGTTCTCCTCAATAATAAGATTCTTATCTTATCAAGTAAAACATAACCATTTTAAGGACAATAAAACAAGCTACCTTTTTAATATCGAGCATACGTTTTACTTATAAATTCATAATCTTAAATACTAAAAGAAAACAAAATGATTTTTTTGGAATTATTGAAATATTGGCATAGTTTTTATGACTTTAATAAATTGGTTATTAAAGCTAAAATATATGCTAAAACATATTTTTTAAAATTTTCTTTGTATTAAAAAATGACATTATTTGTTTTTAGAAATTTGGCCATATGTATGAAAACAAAACTTTTTTTTTATTTGATTTTTGCAATGTTTAGATGAAAATTGGGTATTTTAATACTAGGTTAATATCTTTTCGGTATAAAAATACAAACTCATATTAATAAAAATACATGAAAAAATCATAATTTTTTCAAAAAACATTTTTTGGGTTGGGCCGGATCTAGCCCAACAATTTTGGTCTAAGCTGGTGTTGTTCAACCCAATAAATAGTGGAGAACTCTCTACTGTTGATGTGAACAATGGAGGAGAAAACTGAAGAAGATAGTGGAGACAAACAAGAAGAATAATAGTGGTTTGCGTGACGAAAGATGGTAGCTACTACAGTGATATGGGCGTTCTTCCTCTGTTTATTCTTCCTTTTTTTCTGTTTTTTTAATTTGTCTTTGCTTCTGCTCCTGCTCCGGAATGTTGTCCTTTGTGTTTCTCCAGGTCGTCCCTCCTCTTCATTCGTCCTCTCTCTGTATTTCATTCTTCCTATTGTTCCCAGTTTTGTTCTCTCTACAGTGTCTCTCGTTCTTTGTTATTCTACCTTTCAAGTCCCCCTTGTTTTTCGTTTCTTTCCTCTGTAATCCCCTCCAAATTCCCCCACTGTTCTTTTAAAAAAAAATTGAATTTGGGGAATAATCCAACAATAGGTTTTGATCATTGCACTCAATCGAAGGTAATGTTTAACTACAGTCATCCCTCTAACTTATACTTTAACGGTTGTTTAATGATTGTTAAATCTGTTTCTTTTTGGACTGTAAACTGAGGAGCAGCCAACCATATAGAAAGGGATCAAACAACCTTTATGAAATTTCATCGAATTTCAAAGGAAAGTAGATACATATACATGGGAATAATGCTTCTGCTATTGTGCTTGGAATCGGTACTTGCAAACTGGATTTATAGAGCGGTCACACACTTTATCTTTATGATTTACTCTATGCTCCAGAAATTTGATGGAATCTCTTGTTTGTTCTTGCTTTACTATAATTGAGCTTTAATATTGCGTTTGTTGGTTGTTGATAATATCTTTTTATGGTTCTAGTTTTATATTAAATGTTTTTTAGGGTGTTAAACACTGTTAATGTATCTGTTAATGATGATGCTTCTATTTATGTTGTTCAAAATTCCAACACTACTAATAATAGTGATATCATAACTTGGCATGCTAGATTAGGACATATTAGGCAAGATCAATTACATAAATTGACCATAGCTGGTCTTTTAGGATCACTTATCAAAGAGAGATTGCATGTTGATGAGTATTGCCTTCCTAGAAAAGCAACTAGATTGCCATTTGACAAAGCTAAAAGAGCTAATAGTTCATTACAACTTATTCATTCAGACATTTATGACCCAATAAATGTGAGGGTAAGACATGAAGGAAATTATTTCATCATATTTATAAATGATTTCACATGATTTGGTCATGTTTATTTGATCTCATATAAGTCTGAAGCATTGGATTGCTTCATTCCATACACCAATTTGATGGAGAATAAACTAAGGATCAAGATCAAAGCCTTAAGAACTAATCAAGGACGTGAATTACTATTTGAATAATTTAAAAAAAAATATGATGAAAAATGTATAGCTAGATAACTAATTATACCTTATACTCTACAACAAAATGGTGTACCCCTTGCATAATGAAACAAGAATCTTGCTTCTTGCCCAAACCCTGCAATGAAAATTTTCTACATGACGATCATTATGTCACCCACAAGTATTGAGTTCAAAATGCTTCAAGAAGGGTTGCCTTTATGCAACTAAAAATGGCGCATACAACCTAAGGACATGCTTTATTCCTTATGTAAACATAGGTAGGTTTTCTACGTGGTCTCAAAAGGATCTCATATCTGCCCAGTGATGATTTTCATAAAGACAATATAGGGGCATTGTAAGGAATAGTTAAGGCATGTATGCCCACCATTACCAAGCAGGAACTCAGATACGAGTTGGGTGTTTCATGCATCTAAACCCTGACTGATGGTCATAGGACAGATCGCTAGTTACCCACCTAACTTAAAAGTTTGTGTGCTTTCTAAAAATTAAAGCATGTGATGCAGGAGGCACTTATATACAATACATGAACAAATGTGTACATTAATTTAAAGGGCATAACCAATAAATTAAAAAAAAATACATATTAAAAATAAACATGCAAGCCATAAAACAAACACAATGATCAGACAAAATAATGCTTAGTCCACAAGGTTCCTAGCAAAGTCATCATTATGTCGTACATGTACGGCGTCGCGGCGATCATCCACCACTCAAAAATTATAATAGACAAATGTATAGTCTGTTCTGGAAAAATATGGAGGGACAGGGAATTCTTGTTCGTTATTAGTAAAATATGGACTGGGAGTTGCCACTTAGTATTCTAGTCACTAGGAACCCTAATTAGTCTCAGAGATCGGGTACAGAGACTGGTTGCGTAAAGGAAAGGTATTAGCACCCTAACTATGTCCTACCTATGATAGACTGCATTGTTTTGTTGTCTGATAAAATCTAAAATCGTGTTGTGGTTTCTAATTGTTGGTCTGTCTAAAGTTCAAGACAAGCTCTTCTTAATAAGAAGATTCTTATCTTAATGCAGTAAAATCTAACCATTCTATTTTCTGAAAAAAAGAATTAGATATCTAGAATACGTATTACGTGTAATGTTATACCCTGGATACTAAGAGACAAACAAAATAAAATTTTTGTTGTTTTTAAAATTTTGGTCAATGTTCTCTAATAAAGTGATTATTAAAGCCAAAATGCATACTAAAACATTGTTTGGTGCATGAAAAACACAATACGATTTTTTTAGCTTTAAGACACTTGGTCGTATGCATAAAAATATTTTTTTAAAATTTTTTTAAGTTGAAAAAAACCAAGTATTTTAAAATCAAATTTATATTTTACAGTGTATTTACTTGGACTGGACCAACACGGCTCAACATAAAGAAAATGGGCCAGTATTGGCCCAACATACAACAAAATGGGTCGGATTGGCCCAACAAAAAAAATGGGCCAGCACCGGCCCATCATGCAAAATAGGCCAGTACTGGCCTAAAAGATTGTAATTGGCTGGTTACGATGCACAATACAGTAACCAGCCAATTATTCATTTGTTGCAAAACCAATTATTCATTTGCTGCAAAATGTGAATTGCTCACGTTTTGCATGCAAATGAAAGGGGAATAAAAGGAGACAAAATAGGGAAGGAAAAAAGCTTGCCTGGCGAGAAGAGGTGTGGCTGTTGTCGTTGGTGGCTAGACCAGCGATGCTGCTTCTGCTTCTCTCCTATTCTTTCTTCCTTCTTCTCTGCTTTATTTTTTTATGTCTTTTTTTCTCTCTCTCTTCCCTTTTTATCTCTTTTCTTTCTCTCCCTCCCCCATTTTTATCTTTCTTTCTCTCTTCGTTTTCTCCCTTCTGTCTTCTCTTCTTATGCTCTCTTTCCTTATATTTGTAGGAAAATAGGGGAAAAGACATAGCTGAGGCAGCCATTGTGCGACAACAATTAGAAGAAAATCCTAGTGGTAATATAAGCTGACAGGAGGCAATATTGCAGCGTACCATATTGATTGTGTTTGTTAACTTTTCCATTTGTTATGATTATGATTCGTCTTGTTGTCATTTAATAAAGAGCTGGATTGCTTGCTTGTGAGCTCCGTATTTGTTCTATGTATAAATAATAGCACTACTATTCGTTAATTAAAAGCTTCTATTTTCTTCCTTTTTAACTATTTTTGGTTAGGACGCACACAAAATTTACTATTCATTCGAAAATGGATTCAAATTTACATGTGCACCCCAAGTCTACCTGACAAAGTATTTTCAGCGATGCCCTTGGGCATGACAACCTGTGTTTATTTTTAGACATAAGGGTGAAAGCTAGAAAAGAATGGGATGTAAGATGTGATGTACATGATTAAGACAATGAGCTCCGTATTTGTTCATGTATAAATGAGAGCACTACTACTTGTTAATTAAGAGCTTCTATTTTCTTTCTTTTTACCTTTTTTTGGTTAGGACGCACACAAAATTTACTGTTAATTCGAAAATGGATTCAAATTTACAGGTGCACCCCAAGTCTACCTGACAAAGTATTTTCAGTGATGCCCTTGGGCATGACAACCTGTGTTTATTTTTAGACATAAGGTTGGAAGCTAGGAAAGGATAGTATGTAAGATGTGATGTACATGATTAAGACAATGAGCTCTTAAATAGTTTAACAAATTTTAATATTAAAATTTTGTTTGTCAATTTAAAAAGTAGTGTTTTATTTCATGATTGCACTCTTAATTGATATATCATATAATATAAAGTGTCTATTTAGAAAGCTAGTTCTCTCTCTATGGTATGCATTTTTTACAATATTTATGTCAATATAAAAAATCATGAAGTTATAGCATCGTAAACATTGTAATAACCTATTTCTAGGTTATTTCCCAAGTTTATCTTTTTTTAAAAAAAAAATAATAAATAAAGAGTAACATTTTGAAAAAATCAAGCTGTAATTTAGGATGAAATTGAAAGTTTAACTATACTCCATTTTATCCAAAACTAAAAAGACAGTGCAAATTCAAGATAAAATTATATCAATATTGGACAAATCTCTATAAAACTTAAACCTAGGGATATAATTAGATTTTTAATAGCTCAATTTAATTAAATCAATTATTAAATTAATAAAATTAAATTTTATTTTATCAAAACAAACAATAACCAATCAACAAAATATTTTCTCCACACCTAAAAATACTCATGTGTAGGCTCACAAAACAACTAGTGATGCTTAAACCTAAATTAATGTAATGTTAAATAATAAAAATTAAAAAACTAAAATATAAAAAAAATAAAGGATAATCTTCCTTAAAAAAGAGAGAGAGAGAGAAAACATTGTGGAACGACATGTTACAATCTATGCTGTTCTCTCTCTTTGGGTACACTAACTTTAAGGGCAGGATTAGTTTGTTTTTTTAATTGAATTTAATTAGTGACTTCAAAAAAATTGTAATAAAAATCAAACAATTACATCTAGGAAAAATCATTACCACTATCCAAACAATATTTTAGAAAAAAAACATTTGTCAAAGATATTAATATACATCAGTAGTTTAATTGGTCAACTAATGATATATTTTTAAATAATCAATCACAGTCTCCGTGGCTTCAAAAACAACCATTCTTGTGGTAACAAGATCAAACGCCATGGAGACTTTAAGCCCACTCCAGTAGATTTTTTCAAGGGACAATGGAGAAATTGTTGGCTTCGCCATGCATGTTCAAAGAACATTTATAAAAATAAAACAATAACAAAATGGTAAAATAAGTCACACAATTACATCTAGGAATAATCAACGACGATTAACCTTATATCCATTTAAAATCATCTGAAACTTCCATTGAAGTAACTACCCCAGGACCAGAAATATTTTGTCACCTAACAATCTTTAGTTCTCGACCTGCTCTGATATTTTCACCAGATATCTTCAACAAAGCCTTGTGATACGAGGCATTGCACCCAGTCCTGTTAACTTAAAGGAAAAGTATCATGCTGGAAACAGTCTTATCAAGAAAATATTGGCATATGATTGATATTGTCAAGTTTTTTGAATCTATGGAGGAATTCGTGAGTGAATTCTACTCTCTTGTCAATCGGTTTCATCACTGCCATCTAAGAACGAGCAACTACGTACTAAAGACTGGAGCAAGTCTTCGTCGGCTTCATTTAGAGATAACGTCGACCAATTCAATGACACCAATCTATAAATAACCTATCATCCATGCAAGATATCTCACCCATCTCCTTAAGAAAAATCAGCGTGGAATCTAATGGAAGGGCTAAAGTTTGTACTAGTTTTTGTCCTCTTGGCTCTGGCTTCTTCATTTGCCTCTGCCTTCGATCCTAGTCCTCTTCAGGACTTCTGTGTAGCAGTGGATGAAACCGATGGTGGTATGAGCTCTTGAAGTATTTCGTTAAGAGTTGCATGATAGTATTACACTGAAAATATCATGCATCCTGTATATATTTTATTATTCCTTTACTTTCCGGTATATATTCAATATTCTCTATTAATTGATGACTTTTTAAGGGTATCGAATGTCTTTCTCATGCAGTGTTTGTGAATGGCAAATTCTGCAAGGACCCAAAGGATGTTACTGCAAAGGATTTCTTCTCTTCTGGACTCAACATTCCAGGGGACACTTCCGGTCGTGTTGGTTCAAATGTCACTGCTGTCAATGTTGAAAAAATTCCAGGACTCAACACTCTTGGCATATCCTTAGCTCGCATTGATTTCGCTCCATATGGCCTAAACCCACCCCACACTCACCCTCGCGCCACTGAGATCATAGTAGTTGTGGAGGGTACGCTCTATGTTGGCTTTGTCACGTCTAACTTAGCTAACGGAGATAATCGCCTAATCACCAAAGCCTTAAAACCTGGAGATGTTTTTGTGTTTCCAATTGGACTCATTCATTTCCAATTCAATATGGGAAAAACCAAAGCGCTTGCTTTCGCCGGCTTAAGCAGCCAGAACCCTGGTGTAATTACAATTGCGAATGCGGTGTTTGGATCGGATCCACCCATTAATCCTGATGTCCTCGCCAAGGCCTTCCAACTGGACAAGAAGGTAGTCGACTATCTTCAGAAATCATTCTAGTCGGACAAGAACAAGACATGGAGCAGTGGCCCTGCGATATCGGATTATATTTGACGTGTTCTCATCGTTATTTCCGCTGTCGTATTTTTTTTCATAAATAAATAGGTTGCTGAACCTGTATCTTATGCTTATTCTATCATAATATACAAAGCATTATAATATAGTACTGGTAATAATATAGAATCCATAATAATATAACACAAAGGAACTGCAGTTAGCGCTCTTTCTAACTGGTCCTTTTTTTGGTTGAAAATGTTTTCTCCCTTTTTATTTTTTTTTTGTTTCCTCTCACGTTAGCGAGCAATAATTATCACTTTGTTCGATATTTGATAGGGAATTATTTCAGCAATTGCAGTCATAGTTTGACTCTAAGATCTAAGAGTGTGAAGGATTGTTATAAGAAGATGGAGATTGAGATAGTTAAAGCTGATGTTGTTAAAGATAAAGAGGCTATAATAACAAGATTTTATAATGTTGTTAAGGATAAAGAGGATATAATAACAAGATTTTTTAATAGTTTGAATACAAAGATAGCTAATATAATTGAATTATATCATTATATTGCAATAAAGAATATGGCTTACATTGTTATCATGATAGAGAGATAATTGGAAAAAAAAAATACACTCTAAAGAGGTAATTTATTTTTATGGACCAAAATAGGGATGGATTCAAATTAAAATAAATCATGAATAACCTCATAAAATAATTAAGATAGTTGATGTCATGAAAATGTATTTAAGAAAAACCATATAGTAAATGTGACATTTTATTTGTAAGAATGTGGTAAAGATGGCGTCTATTTTCCTTTAAGCATAAATAATTTTTTTACTTGAATCTCTGGAATTAGTGCATAATTTAGAATTCCTAGTTAGGGGGAAGTTTATTTTTATTTATTTTTTCTTTTAATTTTTAAAGGTATCAATTTATATCGGGTAATGACAGCTTGTCAACTCCATATGGTATACTAAGGTTAAGGCTATGTGTATGTGTTTTCTTGTCAATTTATTTCTAAGCATTTATTTAATTTAATTTTATCTATTATTTATTATGTTCATTTTAATCGGCTAGATTGAATGTGCATATATTTTATTTTTCAAGTTTTCACAAGCATCATAAAAACTAATAAAAAGCTTTAGGCTTGAGCTTGTCACCTTTTAGGATTAAATGGGAAGATTTAGGCAATGAATATGACTTATATCCATTAATACTCACTAGAACTTTCGTTTAAACTAAAACTCACCCTATACTCAAGGTATCATAGAGTTTACTCCTATACCATGTTGCATAAGCTTAAGAGACAGAATTGTCAACCTTAGGAAAATCTTTTGGGAGAGACAAGCCCTGCCAAACCTTTTATTAGCTAGATCATATCCATGTGGTTGACCTCTTAATAAGACGTGAATAGTAACATGACATATATATATTTGTTTATACAATGATCTTATGAATCCCTAAAAATAAGAGATTTTATCAATTTTATTTTAATACCAAAAAAAAGATTTCATTGATTTTGTCCTTTTTACTTTTTTTAAATTAATCTCTAAAAATAGCATATTTAATTGATTTTGGATTGTTGATGAAAAGTTTTCATGTTAATCCATAAAATAAAAGATTTCATCAAGCTAAGACTTTTGGAAAAAAAAATTGACACTAATTCCTAAAAAATAGAAGATTTTGTTGAAACTTCTTTCTAAAGCATTGTTGAAATAACAAACTCATCAATTTATTTTTTATTTCAAAAACATATCAAGGAACCTTACATTAATAAACTAATATCTTTTAGCCTTGTTTGGGATGTTTTACCTATTATAACTAGGGTTATTTAGCTTGTATTTAGTTTTTTTAAAAAAAAAAGTAATTAGAGATGGATTAATTATTTAATTATAAATAAAACTTGGGTATGAGAGTTTTCTCTTACAGTCAGTTCCTAATGGAACTTTTTCAAGACTTATCAAAGATTAACTGTCTTTCTAGTTTTTATCTTCACTTATCAAAGAATTAACCGAGTTTTATGGTGACTCTTATACTTCTCATTCGCGTCTTATTTATAAATGTTGGCTAGGGGTTGGTTACTCATTGTCCTAGTGTCTCATTATAGGTTATCGTTGTGTTAATATTAATTCCAAACCTGATCTTAGCTTGTATAGGAAGGGTTAATTTAATTGTGAATTTCTTAGTCTTCTTACCTTATAGAGAGGGAAAAATATTGGGTGTCATAACCCATTTTTGGGTTATTTCTCGATTCATTTTTTTCCAACCTAAAAAAAAAAGAATGGAACATGACATAATGCCCTTTTTGAACAGCATTGTGCTACTTCTTCCCCTGGATGCGTAGAGGTTGGGGAAAAAGAGGTTTGTTCCCCTATATTTTCCCTCTCCCTCTCTCTCCCATGACCCGAAAAACCAACAAGACACACACCCATTAAATTGCCAAGACAAAAATGCAGAGGAGACAAGTCCTACGGACTGCTCTAGGGCAGCTGCCCAATGGCCGTCGGCCGCCCTACCCTTGTGCCATGACTGGAATGGGGTAGTAGCCCTCTCTCCCCTTTTTCACCCTTATAAATAGTAGGGGAAAGAGAGCAAAACGGGGGGGGGAATTTTGACGAGATATTAGATGAATGAAATTAAAAAACCAGAAAGGGGAGATTGGAGAGAAAACAGAGAAAGATGGGTGGAGGATGAGAGATTGAAGGAAGAATTGATTGAGATACAGGAGGGAGAATGAGAAGAAAAACAGAGAGCAAAAACATAGAAAAAAAAAAAGGAAAGAGAGAATGAAAGAGATTGAATGAAAAAAAAAAAGGAATAGAAAGAACAAAGAAATAGAAAAAAAAAAGGAAAAAAGGGAGAACAAAAGGGATGGAAGAGAGAAACTGGAAAAAAAAAAAACAGAGAAAAGCAAAGGAAAACAGGGGAGAATATAGGGGAGAGAGAGAGAAGAGAAATAGAAGTAAAACATACCAGAAAGAGAGAAGACACAGGGACTAGGGGAAAGAAACAAAGACAATGACGGGGGGAAAAGCAATCAAAATATAAGGGGATAAGGAAAAACAGAGGCTTGAACCTCTGCACAAGGAAGAAGAATAACAGTCACCACCGCAGCAGCCACCATCATTTTTTTTCCATCTCAAACCACTGCTAACGACAGTGAACACGCTCCTTCACTCCAAGTAATCTTCTCTCCTTCTCTGATCCATCTTGCTGGTTTGTTTCATTTGCATGTAGAACATGAGCAATTCATGTTCTGCAACAAATGAAATATAATTAGTCGATTACTATGCTATAATGAACTAGTAACTCTGCTCAGCACAGTAACCAGCTATCTTCTCATGCTGGACTTTAGTAGTGTACTCCACACTGCTGGGCCAAGTCCAGCTTGGTAGAAAGAAGGTTTTCTTTTTGGGCCGAGTCTGGTCCCGTTAAAAAAAATCAAAAATCCATTTAAAAAATTTTGGTTCTATCGCGTATTTTTTTTTTAATATTGGTTTGTATTTCTATATTATAAGGATACAAATAAAGTATTAAATGGCTAGTTTTCATTGAAACATTGAAAAAATTATGAAACAAAAAAAAAATTTGTTTACATACATGCGGTCATATCCTATTTTCATATGATAAAAATTTAAAAATATGTGTTAGCATGCATTTTAACTTTAATAACTAGTTTATTAAAGTCATGAGAACCAGGTCAACATTTTAAAAATTCTAAAAAAAATATTTTATTTTCTTTTAATATTTGAGATTACAAACTTACACGTAAGACGTACTTCTAATATTCAAATTAAATCTTTGATTGACATCAAAATGGTTAGATTTCACCTTATAAGATAAAGACCTCCATATCAAGAAAAACTTTTTTTGAAAACCATAGACAAACCAACAATTAAAAAACATGACAAGACCTTAGTTTTCTATCAGACAATTAAACAATGCAGCTTAACTTAGGTAAGACGTATTTGAGATGTTAATACCTTTTCTTTATACAACCAGTCCTCATGCCCAATCTTTGAGACCAGTTGGGGTTTTTAGTGACCAAATTATTATATAACGTCTCATTTCTGCTTTTCACTAATAAAAAATAAGAATTCATAGTCTTTCCATATTTATCATATAGATACTTACAAGAGTGGACAATTTCACCGCAACACCACACACGTGCGACATTGGAGAAATTCTATTTTCCTAGAAATTTTATCCATTTTAAGTTTTTTGTGCGCACCATCAACTATATAATTTTAAACCTTTAACCAGCACTAATAGATGTTTGAAATATTAAAAAAAAAATTATTAATTTCTATAGAAACTTTACAACTGCAAGTTCAAAGATAACCCAAATAATTGGAAAAACAAATTGCTAAAAAAATTCTAAAGTACACATCTTTTTTTAAAAATATTATGATGACAACATATTGAATCGATCAAGGTCAATTCAAGTTAACATATAAAATCTATAACTCAAATTATGGAACATTGATAACCTCATAAAAAGAAAAGAAAAATCATATTGGAGCTCAATTCTCAATCAACTCTATATTAATCATTGAAATTGAAAAAAAAAAACATAAATCAAAAAAAGGATATAAAGACCATGTCAACTAGGGTTAACCTCCCAAGATTAGATTATGAATTCAGGATAACCCAATAAAAAGAAAATCAAAACAAACTACAAAGCTCAATTCTCAATTAGTCCACAATTAAAAGATAAAATTGAAAAAAATCAATTAAAAAAAAAACCTGATTTAACATGCCAAGCCATTTACTCAAATCATGACACAAGGACAACCTCATAGAAAGTAAACAAAAATAAATTATGAAGCTTAATTTTCAATCAACCTAAAAGGTGAAGGATAAAATTGAAAAAAAAACTCAATTATAAATAGGACCAAAAAAAATTGATCCAATAAAGTTAACCGATAAAACTCATGAGTTTTGTCATGATATTAAGATAACCTTATAAAAAATAAAATAAATTAAATTATGAAAAATAATCCATAACAAATTCACTGTTAAATGATGAAATTGAAAAATAAAATAAAAAGGATATTTTTCTTATAAACAATACTTTATAAGGATGAGAATAATGATTTTATCTCCTCAATTAGTTCTTTTTAATGTTTTAGATGGAGGAAGAAAAATCATAGTGACCTACTAGATT